AATCCTGGAGATACACAGTTCAGATCCACCAGATGCTGTGCTGGAGAAGGAGAAGCAATCTCCTCTACCAGTCAGATCTGATTTGACGGTACACACACACACACACACACACACACACACACACACACACACACAGAGGCATTAATTACTACCTAAGTGATTGTCATTGTTGTTACTATTATAAAAGCCATCAAGTCAAAGATGACTCATAGCAGCCCTATGAACAATAAATAGATCCAAACTCTGTCCTGTCCTGTGCCATCCTCATCATCCTCAACAACCTTGAATCTATTATCACAGGCACTATAGCAATCAATCTCATTGAGGATCTTCCTTTCCAAGTATGATGTCTATTTCCAAGAAATTGTTGTTATTGTTGTTAAGTGCAGGTTGAGTAGAGCATGACTCATAGTGATCTCTTGAACAAAAGATCTGAACCCTGTTCTGTCCTGCACCATCCTCACACTTCCTAATACACAGGTGCCCATTGCAGCAGTCACCATGTCAATCTACCTGGTTGAGGGTCTTTCTCTCCCTCACCAATCCTCTACCCTTCCCAACATCATGCCCTTCTCTAAGGAATAGCACCTCCTAAAGGACTCTGGCTGCACCCTCTCTGAGACATCTGTTCATTCTCTTGGCCTTCCATGGGGTGTTCAGTGCTCTTGTCCAACACCACAGCTCAAAGATGTCAATTCTTTTTCTGTCATGCTTATTCAATGTCCAGGTCATAGATGCATAGCTAGTAATTGAAAAGACTATGGCCTGAATCAGATGCACCTTATTTCTCAAACTGACATCATTACTCCTCAGTAATTTGAAAAGGTCCCTAACTGCAGATTTTCCCAGTGCAATGTGTCTCCTTATTTCCTGACTGCTCATACCAAGGGTGTTAATTGTGAATCCAAGCAAGATGAAGCTGTTTATAGTTTCAATCTCCTCTCCATCCATCCTGACATTGCATAATGGTCAAGTGATAAGAATCTTTGTTTTCTTGATATTGAGATGCAATCCATACTGAAGGCCGCATTCCTTGATCTTCTCCTTGTTTCCAATGAATAACCACTCCTAACAACATGTCCAAAATATGTGTTGTTTTACCATTTTTTCCTTCAAGGATAGTTCTACTTGCACTTTCTCCAAGACATATCTGTTTGTTCTTTTGGCAGTCCATGGTGTATTCAGCACTCTTCTCCAGCACCACAGCTCAAATGCATCCAGTTTTTCCTTGCCATCCTTATTCACTGTCCACTGTCCAGCTCTCAGTTACACAGCAGGTGATTGAGAAGAATGGGCTTGAATCAAGCAAATCTTCTTTTTAAACTGGTGTCATTGCTCTTCACAACTTTGGAGAGATCACTGACAGCAGACTTTCCCAGTGCTAAATGTCTCTTGATCTTTTGACTGCTGTTACCAAGGACGTTAACTACGGATCCAAGCAAGCTGAAATCACTGACAATTTCAATCTTTTATCTTTCATGATCATGACTATTGTTTCTATGTTGAGGACTTTTGTTTTCTTGATGTTGCGATGTTATCAATATTGAAAGCTGCAATCCTTGGTCCTCTACAGCAAGCCTTCAGGTCCTCACTTTCAGCAAGCAACAAGTTGCATCATTTGTATAATGCAGATTGTTGATGAGCCTTCCTCCAATCTTGATGCCACACTTTTCTTCATAAAGTCCAGATTCTCGAATGTTTTGCTCAGCATACAGACTGAATAGGTATGGACAGAGGATACAGTCCTGATGCACAGCTTCCTGATTTGTAAAGCATTCTTTTGCTGGTTTATTCTCTTGCTCTGTTCGTACAACAGCTTTTTGGTCTAGGTAAAGAAATATTTCAGGAAGCATCACGTGATAAAGAGCCAATGGTGGTGAAGGAATAAGTTCAAGCTGCATTGAAGGTACTGGCTAAAAATAAGGCCCCAGTACTTAATGGGATATCAATTGACATGTTCAAACGAACAGATGCAGCCCTGGACATGCTCACCAATCTGTGCCAGGAAATTTAGAAGACATCTACCTAGCCAACTGACTAGAACAGATCCATATTTTTCCCCATTCCCATCTTCCAACAAAATATGGAAATTGCTGGACAATATCATTAATATCACACACAAGCAAACTATTGTTGAAGTGTTTAAACAGTAAAATGACAAAGAGCTATCAGAAGTTCAAGCTGGGTCTAGAAGAGCCTGTAGCACCAGGGATATTATTGTTAACGTCAGATGGATCTTTGCCGAAAGCAGGGACTATCAGAAGAATGTCTATTTGTGTTTTATTGACTATGTAAAGACATTTTACTGTATTGATCATAACAAATTATGGCTAACCTTGAGAAAAATGGGAATTTCAGAACACCTATTTGTGCTTGTACAAAATCTTTACTTAGACCAAGAAGCTGTTATCTGAATAGAGGAAGGAAGCATGCCATTGTTAGTTGTTGTCATTTCAATTCCAACTCATGGCAACCCCAGGAGTACCGAGTAGACTTGACTGAGGAGGTTTTCGAGGCTGTGACATTTTGAGAACAGATTGTAAGGCCTGTCTTCCAACGCACCTCTGAGTATGTTCAAAGGACCAGACTTGCAGCTCACAGACCTATGCTTAGCCATTTGAGAACACATTAAATATCCCCTTCTTAGCCCCTCTCAAAAGATCTCAAAAAATGGCAAACATGCCATTGTTGTTGTTAGGTGCTGTCGAGAATGACTCATAGCAACCTCATGACAACATATCTAACCCCTATCCTATCCTATCCTATCCTATCCTATCCTATCCTATCCTATCCTATCCTGTGCTGTCCTCACAATTTCTGACACATTAAAGCCCATTGCAGCAGTCACTGTGACAATCCATCTGGTAGAGGGTCTTCTTCTTTCACCAAGCCTCCACCTTCCCAATCATGATGTTCCTCTCCAAGAAAAAGCCTATACTGGCAACATGCCTGAAGTATGTAAGACAAAGTTTTATCATTCTTGCCTCCGGGAAGCATTTTGGCTACTCGTTCTCCAAGACATATCTGTTGTTCTTTTGGCAGTCCATGAGATATTCAGTGCTCTTCTCCAATACCACATTTCAAAGGCATCAATTCTTCATCTGTCATTCTTATTCATTGTCCAACTCTCAGATGCATAGCAAGTGACCGAAAAGATCATGGTGAGACCATTTAAACCAGATGAGACCCAGAACTTGGGCTTTTATTTAACAATAAGCCACTCACTGGCTTGGGACTCCTGTTTAAACCAGATGAGACCTAGAAGCCAGGCTTTTAAAAAAAAAATCAATAAGCCATTTGTACCTGAGGACCTGCTTTGAAGCACCAGCATCAGAAATTCAGCAGAGACTATCAGGTGACATTAATATCCACATCTGGAACGTTACCCTAGTGGGTCTCATTTGGAACACTTCAACACCCTCCTAAGGAGCACATCCTGCCATTTCTATGAAGGCTTCAACTGCATCTTGTTCCTATGTCTGGTTTGCTACTAGAAGTACAACACTAATTTGTCAGTTTGTTATAGGTTGTTGTTGATTGCCACCAAGTCAAGTATGACTCATAGCTACCCTAAGAACAAAAGGCCCAAAGCTTTTCTATAATTATTATCATATATCAAAATTCATAGATTATTTTTCCAGAGGCATGTTGTTTAGGAAGTGGATGCCACTTCTGCTTTGTTATATTGGTGGAATTAATTATTTTAATTAGTGCCACACTTGTCCATCATTTTACTGTACTGAGGTAATATGTAGATTACTGTGATGCTGAAAGCTATGCCAATGGTATGTCAAATGCCATAAGGGTCACTCACGGTGGACAGGTTTTAGTAGATCTCCTAGATTAAGATAGACTAGAAAGCAGGATTGGCTATCTACTTGTTTTTGGCTTTTTTTAGAATAACAGGTGGAAAAGTTTTATTAAGGCAGTAAGCCAGAGGCATAAAACTAGTGATAGGTGACTATGCAAAGGAGTTAAAGTGAAAAAGAAAGAAAAGAGAAGAGGGTAAAGGAACCTCGGAAAGACAGGGGTGAGCTCATATCTTACTGCATGCTGTCAGGAGAAAAGGAGAGTCATCCACTTCTTAAATAGCAGGCCTCTGAAAACCCTATATACAGCAGAGGAACACGGATAGCCATAGCATTAGGGGTAGAGCCCAAATTGGAAGTCAATCAAAATGAGAAAGAAATAGAGGCAAACATCCTTTAATAATGGGAACATAAAATGTAATGGGGGCATGAATGTTGGAAAAGTAGAAGTTGTGAAAAATGAAGTAGAACACATGAATATTGACATTCTAGGCATTAGTAAGATGAGATGGACAATCATAAATGTGTAGTAAATGACACCAATGGCACTGAACTGCTAACAGAAAGGTTGGCCGTTCAGATTCACTTAGTGGTTCTATAGAAGATTGATTTGGTAATCTGCTTTCACAAAAGTTGTAATAAAATGCTCCAGAAGACAGATTATTTTGTTGCTCTTTTTAGTTATAAGTTATTGTTGTTGTTGTTGTTGTTGTTGTTGTTATCATCATCACCTGGAATCCAGCTAAATTGGAGTGAGAAAAGTGAAGTATCTAAAGCACAATATTTAAGGAAGCACTTAGTCTCAACGTCATGCAACTACAGGATTGACACCTGAGAATAAGTATATCTTTAAAAGTTGTACCCTATTATTTCATGCTAATTATTACCTTGTAAGGCCTATATGAGAAAAGTGGTCATGGTACCAGAAGAGTATAAGGATTAATCTTTGTTTTTAAAAAAGTGAATGAAAACATGATTTCCCTCTTTCTCATAGCTCTCCAGCTTAATCAGTTCTCAGTGAATATTGATGAACCTAATTGAACCACTACTTACCTCTGTTCTCCAAATGTAACGTTCTCATTCTGAGTCCCACCTGCACTTACACCTGTACTAGACTCCTCTCTGGAGGCTATTGTGTGCTATATTTAAATTCTCTTGAAGCTCTTATTTTCTGCTGAAGACTGTTCTTACCTGCTCAATGTAGCTAATTAGGGAATTTTTGTTATCTTCCCAGTAGCCCTTCAGTGTCTCTTCAGGTGGAAACTTCTCACAGCTAAGTTCCACAGTGATCTCAAAACAGTTGCTGCTGAGGTAATTGAAGTCTTGCATTCCTGCCAAACACAAAATAGAAAGTAAAAAATGTGCATTGGTCATGGGCCATTCTACCACACTGAACACCGTGTGAGAAAGTAAAAGCCAACCAAGAGCATTTGCGGAGCCTGTGGGAAACCATGGGAGTCCCTGGGTAGTGTAAATGGTTAAGCTTGTGCAGTAATCAAAAGAGTAGGTACTTAAATCCATCCAGAAGTAAAATAAATAAAGGTGATTCTCTACTTTAAAAAATCATCCATTATGGCCGAAAGACAAATGAAGAAATGCTCAAAATCATTGGCAATAAAGGAGATGCAAATCAAACTCACAATGAGTTTAACATGACAGCAAGTAATAAATACTGGAGAGGATGTGGAGAGACAGAAACTCTTGCACACTGTTGGTAGGATTGTTAAATGGTACAACCACTCTGGAAGGCAGTTTCCTCAAAAAGCTTAACATAGAAATTCAATATTACAAAGCTAATTTCACTGCTTGGGATATACCCCAAGAAAAGTAGAAATGAGACACAAATGTGTACACCAGTATACACCATCTGTACACCATTTGACACAGATTTGTACACCAATGTTCACAGCAGCATTATTCACCATAGCAAGAACATGGATATAGCCCATAATTGAATGGACTGAGAAACTGAGGTACATTCACATGATGGAATACTATGCAACATGCAGGATCAATGATTTTGTAAATTATGACATAACTTGAGAGGGACAGGAGAGCATTATGCTAAGTAAACTATCTCAGTCCCATAAGGACAAATATTATATAAGATCATTATTGTAGAAATAGATAACTAGTAAAATGGGTATAAGGATCCAATGTGGGAAGGGTAGGAACAGAGGGGTGAGAATGGGCAGGAAGTAATCACGGGGACACATAATTTGATGGGTAGAGAAACAATGTCAACAAGCTCTGTAATCAAGCCAGTATAAAATGAATTTATTTTTTTAAACATAAAGAATCATCTATTTTAAACCCTGTGTATTCGGTTCTATTCTGATACATATGGTAGGCTCATGAGTTGACCCAAGGGCAACTGGTTTGCATTGGCAGAAAATGACTGTGAATAGCTAACAATATATTTGGGAGATTATTATTACCATCAAAGTTTAACTTTCTCTAACCAATCTTCAGCTTAATGCACTGCTGGGTCATCAGCCAAATTTCACATTGCCAGAAAGAGAGGCAATGAAGTATGAAATCAATACCTACTGATATGGCAAAGACACACATTTGTTTAGGTGAACTTTTCTATGAGGAAAGAACACTGAGAGTTATATGAGATTACCTGGAAAGCTTTCAGAGTTATATGAGATTACCTGGAAAGCTTTTTTCTTCCCTGAGGTAGGTAAATGCCACTGAGTTGACTCCAACAGATCTTAACCTTGCCATAACCTGTGCTGTCTTCATGATCCCCCACATGCTAGAACCCTTTACTACAGTCACTGTCAATCAATCCATCTTTTTGAGGTTCTCCTTTTCTTTCTCTGATCCTCTGACTTTTCCAGCATTATATCTTATTTCAAGAACCGGCCCCTCCTGACAACATGCCCAAAATATGTAACACAAAGTTGCACTGTCTTTGCCTCTAGTGAGCAAGTTTTAAGTAATTACAAGATTCTGAAACAAGAATTCTTTTTTTTTTTTATTTTAATCTTACTCAGATTAATAGTTCATACTGTTGGAGCCATCACTAGATTAGTTTTACAGAACCTGCCCATCCACTCCTCAATCACTGTGTTCGCTACCAAGAACTTACATCTATCTTCTTTTTCTGTTAAGTTACTGATGTCTTGGGAGATTATCTTTCATTCTCCAAACTCAAGCTCTCTGTGGCAGCCCATAGTTAATGACTGATATCAATGAACCACCACTTGATGCTGCTGGTCCTTATGCAAAAAGAGACATCCCTGCCAGCAATGTATGCTTTCAGCTCTCTGTTCAGTGGCTCAGGCCAAGGCTAACTTTAACTGAGCCCACTTCCTCATTGATCTATACACACTAATTTACTCAACTTCCCTCACTGCCTTAAAGGGTATTTCCTTAAAAATGTCCCTAATGAAGTCCCTATCACAGGCTCTGTTTCTAGGAAATTCAACACAATCATTTTATTCATTCTCTAATAGCTAAAGATAGTAAAAGCCTTCTTTGTTTGATAATTCTGAAACAACAGATGCATCCCGGACATGCTCACCAGGCTGTGCCAAGAAATCTGGAGGACAACCACCTGGCCAACTGACTGGAAGAGATCCATATTTATTCCTATTTCCCCTTCCCCCCAAAAAAAGGTGACCCAACAGAGTATAGAAATTACTGAACTATATCAGTAATACCTTGAGGAAAATGTGAATCCCATATTCACTTATGTGAAACCTATACTTGGACTAGGAAGCAGTCCTCAGAACAGAGCAGGGAAACACTGCATTGTTCAAAATTAGGAAGGGAGTATGTCAGGGATGCGTCCTGTCAATCTATATGTAGAATAGATCATTTGGGAGGTTGGGCTTTATGAGAAGGAATGTGGCCTCAGGATTGGAGGAAGACTCATCAACAACCTGTATATGCAAATGGTACAACCTTGCTTGCTGAAACTGAGAAGAACCAGAAACATGTGTTTCAGAGAGTCAAGGACTGTAGTCTTCAGGGTGGATTGAAGCTCAATGTCAAGAAGACAAAGATTCTCACCACTGGACAAACTGGCAGCACCATGAGGGATGGAGAAGAGATTGATGTTCTTAAGAAGTACCACTTGCTCGGCTCCACAATCAACACTCTTAACACCAGCAGTCAAGAAATCAAAAGGTTAATTGGATTGGGACAGTCTGCTCTCAGGAACCTCTCCAGAGTGCTGAAAAGCAATTATGCCAGTCTAGAGACTAATGTGTGCCTAATCCAGGCCATGGTCTTCACAATTACTTGTTATGCTTCAGAGCCGGACATTGACTAAGGACAACAGAGGAAGAATCAATGCCTTCGAGTTGTGTTGTTGGAGAAGAGTCAAACATATCATGGACTGCCAATAAAACAAATAGGTCTATCTTGGAGATGGTGAAACCAAGTTTCTCCTTGGCGGATAGGATTTTAAAGCTCTGTCTCACATAATTTGGACATGTGGCAAAGAGTGACCAGTCCTTGGAGATGGACATCATGCTCAGAAAAATGGATGGACAGTGCAGGAGAGGAAGACCTCGGATGAGATGAATTGATAAATTAACTGGGGCAATGGGAGCTGGTGTGTCAAAATTAGTGAGACTGGCTCAGGACAGGGCAGGGTTTAGAGCTGCTGTACGTAGTGTAACTATGGGTCACAGGCAATTCGACAGCATATAACAACAATAAAAACAATGGAATAAAAGTCAAAATCAAAAGAGAAGTAAACACATATATTTAAAAATATTATTATTGGTTTTGCTATGTGCCATCAAGTTGCCTGTGACTCATAGCAACCCTATCTACAGTACAAAGCTCTGAACCTTGTCCTATCCTAGCCCAATCTCACTGACTCTGTCACAACTACTCCCATTGCCCCAGTTACTGTAACAATCTATCTCACCCAGGGTCTTCTTTTCCTACACTATCCCCCCACCCTTCAATGTATGATGTCTTCCTCCAAGTACTGGTCCCTCCTGGCCACCTGCCCAAACTATGTGAGATAGATCTTCAAAATCCTTGCCTCCAAAGAGAAACTTGGTTTCATCATCTGCAAAACAGACCTATTTGTCCTCCTGGTGGTCCATGATATGTTCAATACTCTTCTCCAGCACGACTTCTTCAAAAGCATCACTTCTTCTGTCATCGTTAGTCATTGTCTAGCTCTCTGATGCATAGCAAGGAATTGCAAAGACCATTTTCCTCTCAACTAATTCAATATATTAAATAAAACAAAACACTGGTTAGTTAATACAGCAATTGCTCTGATTCCCTTTCATTTCTAGGTGGACTAAGTTTTTTTAAATTGTTTTAAACAAAGGGGAGGGGAGAGCAACTGGAAATCACTGTGTCTACATTTTATTCTCCACCCCTGGCAGAGGACAGTATCGTAACTACTGGTGGCTGAGGTAGTACTACAAATAAGAGCCATGAAGTCATGTTGGGATGGAGGAAGCCAAGAGAGCTGCTTTGAGTGTTTAGAAAGGGTGCTGTCCTGCATATTGTTTTCTCCCTTTTCAGACCCTATAAATTGTGAGGCATGCCTCTATCCTATTTAATAGTGCTTATTACAGTTAAATTTTCCTACTCATAGTGACCCTATGCAGAACATTATGGAACCTTGCCTGATTCTGAATTTTCCACACAAGTGCTGCTGTCCTAAAGACCACTGTTACAGTAGTGAATAGAAATTAAGAATTCCATTTCAAATAGTCCTTATCATACCAGTTACTTTTTAAAAAGTGTGTCAACCAAAATATATTAAAGGCCAAAGCATGCCTCCCCAAATATACATTGTTCTTTATGGTGGTACAGCCCATATTGATTATACTGCTAACTCAAAGGCAGATCCCTTTAAAAAAAAAAATACAAATTAAAAAAAAAATTACCTGATCTTTCTGGGCCTGTGATACTGAACAAGCATCACCTGGCCTTATCAAAATCCTCCCAATTTCAACAAGAGAATCGGCTTTACTGAGTAACGATGTTGATGGGGAAATGAACACACAGAAATCACATCTTGTAATGGAAGCTCAGGGTAACACCTTTGATCGTTTTCTGTACATGCCTACAGATAGTGCAAAATGTAGCTCGTTCCTTTCTATTTCCCCATCATTTGTTAAAGAGAACTCTGTTCTTTTTCTTTCCAAGGAGTATGAATTCTACATTGATGTGTTTGAAATCCCTCTGCAAGGTTCCTCTCAGACCTTTAATAACAACTATCCCCTCAAAATGATGCTAACATTTTCCAGAATGTCAGCAACATAGTTGCTAAGAGAGGTCTTCATTCTTACAGTATATATTGAAGTTGGGAGGGTGGAGGTGGAAGTGTTAACTATGGGACAACCCAAAGACAAGAGGTTCCAATCTACCAGCTGCTTTGCAGGAGAATGATGGACAACCTCCTCCTCCTCCTCCTCCTCCTGGGAAGTCCTTCTGGAGAGTCAGCTGTGAGTCCATGGCGAAAAGTGACTAATTGATAGGCTGTAATGTTTATTGGAAGATTTTTTTATGGATCTTAGCAGAAAGCAAAGAATACCAGAAGAATGTCTATCTTTGCTTCATTGACTACACAAAGGTTTTTGACTGTGTGGATCACAATAAGCTGTGGCTGACTCTGAGAAGAATGGGAATCCTAGAACATTTGACTGTGCTGATGCAAAACTTATACTTGGACCAAGAGGCAGTTGCCAGAACAGAGCAAGGAGACACTACATGGTTCAAAATCAAGAAAGGGGTTTGTTAGGGATGTATTCTGTCTCCATACCTTTTCAATCTGTATGCAGAACAGATCATCTGAGACACTGGGCTGTACGAAGAGGAATGTGGCATCAGGATTGGTAGAAGAATCATCAACAACCTGCGTTATGCAGATGACACAACCCTGCTTGCTGAAACTGAGGAGGACCTCATGCACTTGCTGC